TCTGTCTGTCTCTCTGTGTCTGTCTGTCTGTCTGTCTGTCTGTCTGTCTGTCTGTCTGTCTGTCTGTCTGTCTGTCCGTCTGTGTCTGGCTTTCTGTCTGTCTGCATACATGTATGTACGTGCGTATGTAATGGCATGTATTGTAATGTGTTGTAATGCAATGTAACGTAATGTTATGTTATGTTACGTTATGTTATGTTATATGTATGTACGTAGGTATGTAATTCTAATGTACTGTAAAGTATTAGAATATAATTATGTAACAATGTAACAATGCCATAATGTAATAATGTAATAGTGTAATCATATAGTAATGAATTAATGTAATTAATAATGTAGTAATGTAATAATGTAATAACGTAATAATGTAATAATGTAATAATGTAATACTGTAATAATGTAGTCATGTAGTATTGTAACAATGGAATAATGGAATAATGGAATAATGTAATAATGTAATAATGTAATAATGTAATAATGTAATAATGTAAGGTAATGTAATGTAAAGTATGTACACACGCCGACGGCCTGTCCTCATTGTCGTTCGCTGAAGCTGGTACTGTTACTTCTGGAACGCCGAAAGTGAAAGCATGTATGATGCATGTATGTATTTATCCGTGTATGAACTTATGCATGCGCGCGTGCGTGTGTGTGTGTGTGTGTGTGTGGGTGTGTGTTTGCGTGCGTGCTAAATGTATAGGCCGTACTGATGTTATCCATGCATTACTTCATGCATTACTTGTACCGTGGACAAGCACATGCATGACGAAGCCGAAGACAAGCCGGTAGCACCGAACTCATCCTCTAACCCGTATGTTTGGCCGAGGTCTACCAGAAGAACAAGCGCTACAAGCAAGCCATCGAGTCGCTCGGCAGTAGATCTTTGGTTCAGGTATCAGGTGTCGGCCGGAGGGTTTTTGGGGTAAGAAATCATGTGTAGGTTGGAGGTTTGCAAGGATTGCGTGTTGAGGGTTCATGTTCAGACTGTGATGGTATACGGCTCGAGGGTCAAAAGTTTTTGAACAAACATGATTGTGAGCTGAAGTGTTTTTGAGCTGAACTGGGTTTTGGTACCTCGGTTGTGCTTTGGCAGGCGAAAGATGTAAGGACTGGACGCTCTGAGGGTTTAGGATTCTCGTGTAGCAAGCTCTGTTTCGGCCATTCTGGGCTTCTCGCTGCTTCACATCCTATCCTCTTACTGTTGAGCCTTAAAGCACCAGCTCCTGGGCACCCTGCACAAGCCAAGGAGACTCTTAAGCTCGACACTTTAAACCACGCAGACAGCTGATCCAAGCCAGATCCTCACCCCGCCTCCTGAAATCTCAGATCTTGTGTAGGGGTTTCGATACTTCAAAGAAGTGAAGCAGTGACCACTTTGATTTCCGAATTAGAGGCTTACCGCTGGCTAACCACAACAGATCTCGTGCGTTAGCCTGCTTACAACTTGTTGGCTATCTATCTTAGCCTGGCTAAACTGAGACTTGCAAAGGGTCGCGACGGCGAGACACGACAGAAGGCCGCTCATTGTACCCTCTCGCCAGAACGCGACCAAACTTTGGGTTGATGCACTCCAAAGGTGAAGCACAAGCTTACATCAGTACGGCAATACGGCAACTTCAGGCTCTGAACCCTCGGCAGCTCTGCAGTTGAAAGTCCCGACCGCTAGGCTGGCCAGAAATGACAAGATGTACAAGGAGCCGACAACAATTCAACAATCCTGCTTCCTGCATGTATGCACTTTAGGGAGTGGGGGCTACGGGCAGGCATCAGGGAAGGCTGCTTGGATGGTAAAGCTCCGTTCAGGGCTTCAGGGCCGTAGGGCCAAGCGCTGACCGTGCGTGCGTGTGACAGATACAAAGTAGTATTGGTTCTACTGTTGGACTGTTGGTCGTACCAGTTGCGTTTTTTGCATTGGTGCCCCGGTACATGTAAGTGTATACACTTGCGCCCACTAGGTGCTAAATAGCCTTCGATTCAGATTAACCGCGTACCACTCCGCTGTACTGGCACGGTGCTGGCACCGTTGCTAGCTTTCCTTCGGTGGCCAAGCAGCCAAACACGGAACAGACCCTCGGCAAGACCCCTTTCTCACGGCAGCCGTTGCCTTGTAATTCGAGAATCGAAAAAGCGGAACTTGTCAAGTCTGGGGCTGGACGGATTTCCAGATACATCGATCGTGCAGTTCGCTTTCATTAAACAGCTCTCTCCCATACCAAAGCTCTTATGTTCGGGACTCTGGCTCTTCTAGAAAAGCTTCCCAGACTCAACGATACCTAGTCGATGAGCATTGATCGACACGGCACGACAAGTCAGGTGGAGCACAGCGGGGCTCCTGAACTTTGCACCTTCGTTCTGAGCCTTGCCTCAGCCGAACTGAACCTCCGGAGTGCTCACGAGGACTGCATGGATTCTGCGCTGGCGAGCGGCAACCAAGATCTGGTTCGGGGACTCGGTCGGGTGGTCTGGGCTGAGGAGCAGAGACAGGTCCGGGTTAACACAAATTAATTACAGGGTGTCGGGTTGAGAGTTTCGGGTTCACACTGGAGGGTCGATGCTGTAGCACCCCAGCCATCACAAGCATCGGCATCTAGGTTAGGCTTGGCTTCTTAAGTTCAAAGCGTTCATTCTGTATAGAGCTGTATGGAGCTATGCGGACTCGAGGTTGGGGTTTTCGGTGTTAGGCGGCGCAAACATTGCGTTGCTGCGTTTTTTTTGCTGCTGCATCCTTTACACTTGTTTCCTGCAGCAGACGCATGCTAACTGCTTGTTTCGACATTCCTCCGATGTTCTTTCTGTTTGGGCCTGCATGTAGACGTGCAGAAAAGCAACATAATCTGTGGTCGGAATAGTATTGTGTGATGCGAAGTATGTAGCCGTTATGTTGTCATAAGACGCTCAACATAGAACTTCACATCAGGAAGTAGACAGGGAGAGAGGGTACAAGAGTGAACTACGGGATGCTTACAGCAGTATGTCGACGTGTACAGCGAAATTGCAGGTGTTGTTGAATCTCATACGTCGCTGGTAGCACATACTAAGGTCACATCTGTTGTTGTTGTTGCTGCTGCTGCTGCCGCTGTTGTTGCTGCTGTTGTTGTTGTTGTTGTTGTTGGTGGTGGTGGTGGTGCTGGTGGTGCTGGTGGTGGTGGTGGTGGTGGTGGTGGTGGTGGTGGTGGCGGTGGCGGTGGGGGTGGTGGTGG